TCCTTCGGACCAGGGTCCCTGCACCGAGAAGCTCCTAGTTCCAGGGAACACCAAAGAGAAAAAGGCCAACAGAGAGAAAAAGCCTTCCCCTGGAGTTGATGCCCTGAATTTGGACTTTTAGCCTACTTTAACTGTGATGAAATAAATTTCTCTTTGTTAAAGCCATCCACTTGTGGTATTTCTGTTGTAGCAGCACTGGATGACTAAGACAATGAGAAATGCAAATGAGTAACTGTGGATAGTCTAACTGTGTCTTTCCCTGTGTCCTTAAAAACCAGAAGTCTTGGAAGAAGGGAGATGCAGACATAATATAGAAGAGATTAATTTTTTATTTAAGTGTGTGTGTGTGTGTGTGTGTGTGTGTGTCCATGAAGAAGCCCTGACACAATGACCAATTCCTAAGTCTGGATTATGGTCTTTAATGACATTTCTTGCTAAAATAAACCAGGGCTTTCTGGAGAAATGGCTGACTCCAGGTCTGAGCAAGAAATGTACAAGATGCACCTGGAACATCTTGTCATATCAGATAACAAGGAAATAAAAAGTCTTATCAAAAGAATTCATGGGCTTCTTGAAGAAGTTTCCACTGCTTAAAGATGAAACATTTGAGCTTCAACAAGGATAAAAATGGAAATGGATTAAAACCCATCAAGTACGTTTAAATCTTTGAGTTCATAATGATACCAAAACTTAGTTGGTCACCTTTGAATGACAGTAGGAAACAAATTCATTATCTTGAAAATTGGTAAATAAAAAGAATGAAACATTGATCCTGCCTTTCCACTGTATCATTGGACAGCCCAATAGTAAATGATGAGATGTGTCTCTTTATAGAAATAATAGAGCATATAAATAGGGAAGGAACGATAGAATTATCACCATTTTGCAATCCCCAATGAATGAATGGACCTCAGCAATGGCATCAGTGGCTATAACATCATAAAAGACAATTATGTGCCTCATGGTAAAAGACTATACTACCCGAGTCAGATCCTGCTTGCACCCAGATGCAAATTTGCAAGAAATGCAGACACCGGAACATGTTAAATCACACTATGTGTGTGCAATCAGCCAGATGCAGACTGTGGGAAACTCAGGTGTTTTTCAACAGATTAATCATAAAGAAAAGAAATTATAAGTGACATAAAAAACATATAAAAAATCTGGGCACAACTAACCTATAGTGTCAACAGATACAAGTGTGGGTGAATAGACGATACAGAAACACAAGAAAAGGGCTACA